AACCATACCGAGCTTGGTACAAATTGCTAGAACGGTTAACGAGATACATATATGTGATCACAAGTGGGCGGTGCTACGCCCATTTTCCAAAATTTTGTCATAAACGTATTTCTTGGTAAAGAATTGTTGCAACCATCAATTTTGAATAAATTAGCTTCAATATTTACTGATTTATCGAAGATTTTGTATTTCTCGAAAATACCGTTATATGGGATGTGGGCGTGGTTATTGTCCGATTTTTAAAATTTTCAGCCATTTAGTATGCTGTACTAAGGCCAACAACTGTGCCAAGTTTGGAAGAAATTGGTGCAGCGGTTACCAAGATATACACATGTAACCATAAGTGGGCGTGGCTACGCCCATTTTCCAAAAATTTATAATATTCATGTTTTCCGTCTGAAACTCATTGAAAGTATCAATTTTGAGTGAATTATCTTCAGTAGTTACTAAAATATCGCAGTTTTCGTATTTCTTAAAATTACCGTTATATGGGAGGTAGGCGTGGTTATTATCCGATTTCGCCCATTTTCAATACCATCCGTCCCACGCCCAAAAGAAGTTCACGTACCAAGTTTCGTTAAGATATCTCAATTTTTACTCGAGTTATCGTGTGCACAGACGGACGGACGGACGGACGGACAGACAGTCACCGCTTAATCGATTTCTCTTTTCATTCTGATCATTTATGTATACATTTGTCTATATCTATCTCGATTCGTTTTGCCTGTTACAAACAACCGTTATGTGAACAAAGTTATAATACCCTTGTGCACAAGTGCGCTCGGGTATAAAAAAAAAAGAAAACAACAAGCAATTGAAAATTAGCTATGAAGAAAGGCTTGCGAAATTTAAAATGACGCTTCAACTTGCCTTTATTGTTGTAAGCATAAATTTGGGTATTCTTTTTTATTCTTTTGTTGAGCGTTGAATTTAAAGCTTCCTGTTTTTCCGTGTATGCATTTAACTCTCTAAGGTGGATGGCGTCGTTTTCTACAACAACACGTGTTCGATATTGGCAAAGTGCTGAGAATACCTGAATCCAAGATTTGAAATTATGCTTTTGAAAACGAAAGGGGTGTGCTGAAAAAGGCAAAAGAAGAGTGTTTGTATATATGTATGTATAACATTAACTACTTACTACACAAAGTAATCCTGTACATATGGCACATATTTGAAGCTTTTTTGCTTACTAAGCATATTCCTGAAAAGCTGAAATTTACCAATCTGGTTTGCACTGTAATCGAATATAAAAAGTGCGTTTTAAAGTTTTTTTAATAAGTCGCATGGATTACATTTGTGTATGTTTACGTACATATGCATGTTTAGAGAAAAGAATAGCGCCATCCTTTGAACTTCATATCTCCCTAGGAGCATCCCGTTGAATAGACAATGTTATTGAATTGAAGCGAAACGTTAGTAACTTTAATGTGAAGTATGTACTTATTTTCATTATGAAATCGAAAGTTGAATTAGCTTTATTAGAGCCTTTACCACAGCTTGGAAATATGCTACTCAATCACATGTGGCGCACATTTATCTGAAATTATTTTTTAATAGCCTGTAGAGATTTTACCCTGTAGGTAAACCCCGAACTAATGAACCAAAATCGACGAAGCGCCAATTACGAAATTATGAATCCGGCTAGCTTCAATATCCAAGAGCTTCTCAAGATGAGCTGAGCAGCCTTAAAAAAATGCTAAGGTAACTCCACCCTATCATCCCTCGGCGACAGGAGGTATTAAGTAAGATTCCTAGACCTACTGCTTGTATGCCAATCAGAAAATAAGCTGCCAAAATCGCCTTCCACAGCGAGAGGTGTGACTTTGCGAACGCACAGAAGGACGGATGTTAGTTTCCACAATGTCGCTGTGGCCTGGTACCGGTACCCATATGGAAGCTATACTCTCTCGGTATATCGTCGTTTAAAGTACAAAACCGCGTATCGACATGTAAAATTGGATTTGCTCACACAAACTCTTGGCTTAATCCTTATCCAGTCGTCTTGCAATATACTAGTAGGAAATGCGATTGCTTTATAACAAAAAATAGAACCATTTTGAAATATGAATGTTTTTACTCTCTACAAAATAATTTATGCAATCTGGCATACGCGGTTTTGCATTTTGTTGATATGCGGTTTTGTACTTTAAACGACGATATGTATGTTATGCCAATCTCTTCAGCTACTTCTGCCTAAAAACAACTGCAGCATTCCGGATATCAAGTTGATGAAGAGTTGCCGGCAGCAAGCGCCACACTAACCCCTGCTTCAAGTGAAAAAGTTTACTGTGCGCCCTACCCAATCTTAGAAAGAGAATAGGCTACCAGAATCCATTTCGAAGATGCAGCAATTGAGTGCTCAGTGGTTAAATCGAAAGTTTCACGAAGTCCGGAGCGTCCGATATTCGAGCCTGTGAAGCAGCCGTTTTCCCTTAGCTGGATAGCCGTTCGTGCGGCGGTAGCTCTGGTAGCCGGTAATATGGCCAATGTAGGAGTGGTTCTTAGTGCACCACTAATAGCGATTAGGTTTGTCCATTGTGCGCGGTTTAGCTATTTTCATTGAATTCCCCAGGCAAGTGCTTAGCAAAACTAAATTGGCTTAGCTATGGTTTTTAGATCTATATCCCATAGCTCCATTGTAACAGTTTAATGCAACCGATGCCGTTCTCAACTTTTCCGCAACGAGTGAATGCGACCAATTCGGTCTTGCGAGGGTTGAGGGCGAGGCCGCTGTTAGTCGCACACTTAGCTGCCATGTTCAGGTAAACTTGTATCAGATCAAAATAGGTATCTTAAAATCCATAGGCAATCACCCGACAGTCCTTTTTGCACAAATCCCACTAGAAGGTCGTTTACCACCATTTTAGTACCGCTGTTCTAGTCCCTGAAATGACTGTTCGAATTTTCTGATAGAAATACGATTTATACAACACCGACTTCCTGTAACCTGTGTATGTATGCTACTAGTCGCGTTTTTCTCAGAAATAAACCTCAAAGAATGTTACTTATAACTGGTTTCCATGTTTCCAGTTTCCAGTTTTCCATGAATTTTATATAAAAAAAACAACTTTTCCCAGAAAAGTGTGTTTCTCTTCAGGAGATTCCCAATAATAATACCCAATTGTTTATTTAGCAATTTCTTAATACTGAAGATTTTTTATTCGTAACCCATTGCATTATTTTGGGGTTTTTTGGCGGACCAATAATAAAAAATACTTACAATGAAAAAATTA